AGGGTTTTGGGTGATTTAGGGGTTTTGGGGTTTAGGGGTTTTAGGGTTTAGGGGTCTAAGGGCTTGGGGGGTTTAGGGATTTAGCGGTTTCGGGATTTCGGGATTTTGGGATTTCGGGGTTTAGGGTTCAAGGTTTAGGGTTTGGGATTTAGGGTTCAGGGATGAGGGTTTAGGGTTTCGGGTTACGGTCTAGGGTCCAGCCACGGACACCCATCGAGCCAACTGGACAACTCGACCCAAGCGGGTGCGGTGCTGAAGCGGGCGTGACTTTGTAGCCCAGCGTGTCAAGGTAGCCTGGGAGCACTTTGGACGAACCCTGCCCTAAACCCTAAACCCTAAGCCCTGCACCCTAAACCCCAAACCCTGCACCCTAGACCCCAAACCATAAGCCCTGCACCGCAAAACCCTGCTGCACCGTTGAAGCCAGACATTTGTTTCAAGAAGTGCGGCGACTTCCGGGACTGGGGTCGTATCGGATAGGACGTTGCAAAGCTCAGCCTGCATGGAGCCTTACAGTACAAGACAGGAACGGTTTTGACGTATAACTGATAGTTGTGTATAGTCAGAGTAAGGAACTAAACATATTATAGGGGAAAAATATTTTTTCCCCTTTAATATGTTTAGGTGGAAAACATTTTTTCACCTATAATATGTTCAGTCAGAGTAAGGAACCATAAGGAAGCGTGTGGTTAGTTGTTCATGCTTTTATACTCGGGTTGTGCGATTCTGGAGGTATCAGATGTGAGGGTGGTGGAAACCCGAAGCCTGACACTCTAAACCGTAAACCCTAAACCCTCAGCCCTAACCCTAAACCCTAAGGCCTAAACAAGCAGCCCCCTTTAAGCTCCCACTGTTGGGGGGGGGGGGTAGAATCTTTAAGCGCGAAACCCTAAACCCTAAACCCGAAGCCCTAAGCCCTAAGCCCTAAACAAGCAGCCCTCAGCTTTTAGGGGTGGTTTCGGTGTGGAGGTTCGGGCCGGGGTTCGGGGGTTGTGACAAGGGTAGTAGAAGCCAGAAAGTTGGAACATGGGTGCAGGAGGATTAGGGTTTAGGGTTTAGGTTTAGGCTTTAGGGTTTAGGGTTTAGGCTTTAGGCTTTAGGGTTTAGGGTTTAGGGTTTAGAGTAGTGCTAGGATCCCTTATACTTTACCTTGATGGCATGAGGATAATCATGTTCCAACTTTCTTGCTTCTTGTGACAAGGTAGCCTGGCCGCAATCTTCACGGCCAACTTGATCGCGCTCCCCTTCTTTGACCTTGGCCTAGTTCGGAAAGGCCCTCTTGAGTTTTGAGTTTAGGGTTCAGGGTTCAGGGTTGAGGGTTTAGGGTTTAGGGTTTAGGGTTGAGGGTTTAGGCTACAGAAACTCGAACCTGGGACCCTGAACCTACTTAAAGGAGGACTTGGTAGTTGGGGCATCGCCGAAAATCTAGCTCACCTAGAAGCTAGTCGCTAAGTGGAGCCAAGTAGGTCTATGCCAATCGAGTGGATGTCCTATCTGGTAGGGAAGGGTCACCAGCCCTGAGCCAAACTCGCTGACACCCAGAGAAGCCCTGAACCCTTGAACCCTTAAACCCTAAGAGCCGCACTGAAAGGACCTGTCTGGACCAGAACCGAAGTTTGGTAACATGAACCCAGCTTAATTAAGGAAGATACCTGAAACTATGGTACTGCGCCCGTCGTAATTCAGGGGTCTATTCCTGAAGCAGCTACACCCTAAACCCTTCCTTAACCCTTAAGGAAGGGTTATTGGGCTCTCCGCTAGCCAGCCATCTTGCCTAGAGCACTTCTGATTACGAAGGCTCTTAGTTTTTTGTTGCTTTGTTTTTGTTTTTGTTGAATTGTGCTTGTTGGATGTTTTTGGTTCATGGTTTTCTTCAGAGGGATCTTCGATACTTGCTGCGGGAGTAGAGTGATGCTCTGCTAGTTTCATGAGGGCTTTCTTGGTCAATGTCTTGGGAACTCTGCCCAATCTAAACCCTCAGCACCCCAAACTCTTCTTTCTGAGACCTCTAGCTGCTAAGCTCGCAACCCTGAGCCCCACTTTCGCGAAAACGTAGAATTTTATGGATTTATATGCAGATGTCATAGTCTTAGCCCGCTGAGGAAAAGGCCAAGACACCCTCAACCGCTAAACTGCAAACCGGCGAACCCTAAACCCTAAACCCCGAAATCCCCAAACCCCAAACCCGAAACCCTAAACCCAAAACCCAGAAACCCCGAAACCCCGAAAGCCAAGAACCCTGAACCCTAAGCACCCACCCCGAGGCCCCGACCCAGGGAGTCTGGAGCATGCAAAACGCCACAACTCGCCAGACAGAACGACCCCTTAAAGGGTTCTATAATATCCCTTAAAGGGTCCTGTAGAGGGTTCTACAAGGGATCTTTTATAGGGCTCTATAATATCCCTTAAAGGGTTCTATAAGAGTTTCCAATAGGGTGTAGTGTGGGGGCTTTGTTATTTAGGATAGGGTTTTGGGGTATACTGTTGATGGTAAAAATCCTGCATTACCTTGAGGACCTTAATCTATGGGAGTTATGATACTTTCCGTATTATGGGTAATGCAGGATTTATATCATCAACCGTCGGGTGTAGGCGTTAGGGCTTAGGGTCGAGAGTATAAGGTCTCACATCTGGTTGGTTTACGGTTTGGGGTAGTAGGGTTTGGGGTATTAGATTTTATGTAGGGTTTGGGGTTTAGGGTTTGGGGTCTCGTGTTCGCCACTTCAACATCCTACATCTTGACCCGTAAGCCCTTGGACACGCAACGGCTTTGAAGCCTGAACATCTTGACCCGTAAGCCCCTGGACACGCAACGGCTTTGAACCCTGAACTCTGAACCCCATAACGTAACGCCACATGCCTAAACCCGAAACCCCAAAAAACAATAAACCCTAAACCCTGCATTCTAAACCCAGCTCTCTCTGCCTGTAACAACCCCTAATCCTGAGGCCTGCACTCAAAACCCGGAGCACTGAAACCTTACAGAATCCTTTACAGGAACCTGTAGAAGAGAGCCCTTATGGGGTTTAAGAGTCTTTTCCTAGCATTTGTATTCCTAAACCCAGATAGCAGCCTCTAAAGCGCTATGAAATCCTGAAAGGACGACCCACAACTAATGGTTCAGATCCGGATCTTGGCGTTTAGGGTTTAGGGTTCGGGGTTCAGGGTTAAGGGTTTAAGGTTCAGTGTTTAGGGTATAGGGTTTAGGATTCAGGGTTTAGGGTTTATGGTCCCCAACCTCAAACTCCAAGCCCTTAGTCTAAGCCCCACGCCTGTAGGCTGGGGATGCATCAGCGAGCTCACGTGTACCTCAAAGGCCGAGGACGCTGATTAGGTTTTAGGGATCCGCAAGAGTTCCTTCAAGGCATCCATGAGTGTTCTATAAGGGGCTCAGGGTCTATAGGGCCTGTGGTTAGGAGTTAGGGTTTAAGGATGGATTTGTTAGGTCGAGTCTAGGGTCTTCGGGCTTTGGGGGTTTTGGGGTGTAGGACTTTCAAGCCTTAAATCCTAGCTCCTAAACCCTAAACTTAGGCCCTAAACCCTAAACCTTTAAGACTGAGGTTGTAGGTGGGGGTTTCGGGGTCTTCGAGGGCCGCTGGTGAATGAATGTAGCGGGCTTTAAATAATTAGAATAGAGTTGTGGGCTCCTTTTTTGGGGTATAGTTACAGTAAGGAACCCTAAG